CCAAAGTGCAAGTCTAAGAATCTTGTGATGTTGAGAAAGACAAATAAAAAAATTTATGTCAATTTGAAACGAGTCTTCTTCCACAAAATTCCCCTTAAAAATGATATCAAAATAAGATTTGTTTTCTAAAAATGTTACGTCCATGGTTACAAACTTTTTTTTTTCTTTGGATCAAAACATTTATATTCTTTTTGTGTTGAAGAATATCCAACAAAAACACATTTTATAGCATCTCGTTCAAGTTTTTCAACATTTTTATGTTCATGAACAAAAATATGAACAAAAATTTAAAGGCAAATCATTTATAACTAGGGAAGCATTCTTTGAAAATATTAATCGGAGTTTGAAAACTAAGGACCTTTGAAGGCATATTTTGTTAATCAAATGTGAAGCAATTAAAACAACTTAACTCCAAAAGTAATTTGGTACCTTATTTGTAAAAGCAAAGCACAACCTACATCTAATAAATGTTTATTTATTTTTTCAACAACTCCATTTTGTTAGGACATAGAACTTTGATGCACTATTCCATTTTTACGGGAAAAATCATCCAAATTAGTGTTGAAGTATTCTTTGACATTATCACTTCTAAAAACTTGAATATTTGTTTGGAATTGATTTTGCACCATGTTAAAAACTTTAATATTTGTTTGGAATTGATTTTGCACCATGTTAAAAACTGCTTATCAGCCTAATAAACATCAGATTTCTCCTTTAACAAGTACACCAACTTATTTTTGAATGGTCATCTATAAATGTAATAAACTATTTTTTAAGAGAAAGTGTACTCATATGTTTAAGGTCCCAAACATCAATGTAAATAACAGACAAAGGGTTTGAAGGTTTATAAGACTGTATAGAAAAATGAGAACATGTTTTTGCAAATTTACAAGCTTCACACTTAAATAGAGATAAATTCTTATTAATAAGTAATTTTAGAAACAAGTGTTTTAAATAACGAAAATTAGGATGTCCTAATCGTAAATGCCAAAATATACATTGTCATCATAATTTAAAGCAAAAAAAAAAAAATTCAAAACTAAAACTTATTCGTTTGAAAGGTCGTAGATATTCATCTCCAAAGTCAAAGTAATATAGTCTTCCATTCTCCTTAGGATTGCCAATCATCTTTTCCAAATTCAAATCTTAAAAGATACAATAAATATGAGTTAACTTGCTGACTGATATCAGACTACAAGAAAAATTTAGGACATGAAGGACATATGTAAGTGTTAGACTTGGAGAAAACACAACAGAGCCTTTACCTGCAATAGCTGAAAAAATGTCTTCCGTGACTTCTATCTTATTATCATGTGCACAAAGACTATACAACAACAACCAAGCCTTATCCCATTAAGTGAAATCGACTACTTGGATCAACTTTTGCTATAATGTTCTATATCTAGGACCATGCTTCTATCCAAATCGTTAATCTCGAGATCTTTCGTAGTAACTTCTCTTATAGTCTTTTTAGATGTACCTCTTCCTCTAGTTTGTCTTCTAAACCATATGATATACTCTCCTTACCACAAAATCTACATGTCTTCTCTCTACATGTCCAAACAATCTAAGTCTATTTTCCACCATCTTCTCTATAATAGGTGTTACCCCAACCCTCTTTCTAATATTCTCATTTCTAATTATATTCTGTTTACTCTTACCATACATCCAACACAACATCCTCATCTATGCTACAGTTACTTTATTCTTGTGTTGATTCTTAATCGCCTAACATTCTATCCCGTACGACATCACTGAGACCAAAGTTTATGAATGCGGCCGCAATTGGCGAGATCCCGAGCGTTTCAGTCGGAGCAGCCACCCTTCGCGGCAGATTCATGGTGGGTTTCACAGATTCAGATCACGGACGCTTTTGCTGGCTTCGCAGGTCGCAATTCATAATAAAAATAAGGAAGAGAAGATGTACCCTTATCAACATTGCAACAGCTTCATACATCTCTAGAAAAAGTTGAATACTCACTTACCTCCTTACATACAACTGTAAAACACTTAATAAAACAATAACATTAATGGTTAATAACATTAATAAATATGTTTGTGATCCTTTTAAATATTTCAATTTCATTTTTAATTTCTCAAAAATATTTCCTTTAAAAGAATGGTCCTTCTAAAATTTTTCATCCACACTTTTGATTTCTAATATTAAAACCGTCGCTAATTCTGTCGCTAAGTTGTAAAAACCGTCGATGATTTGCAAGAGAGATCAAAAGTGTGGATGGAAAATTATAGAAGGACCATTCTTTAAAAGAAATATTGAGGGATTAAAACCGAAAATTGAGATATTTAAAAAGACAACAAACATATTTAACACTAACATTAATAATAAAAATAGTAATAACATATAATTAAGTGTTCAATCCGTTATTTGTATAGATTATTCATATATTTAGTTCAAAAAATAGTCAATTATAATAGGTCAACAAAAGATATCCAGCTATTCCAATATCCCATTTTTAGAGTCGGCAGCTCCACTCCGCTATCCGTGATTAATAACTCTGATTAAGACTATATGAAAAAAACATGTAGATTCATCGGTCATATGACCAGTAGCCCTTGAATCTACCATTCAACTGACACTAAAAAATGCACCTTTTTGAGCTATAGAGCACTAAGGAGTTGATTCAAGAAGTTTTAAAAGTTTGTCTATTTATTTCAAAGTGAATGACAACTGAGTTGAGGATGACTTTTGCCCTTGATCAGAATTACAAGTCTGAAGTGCACGACCCTCATTATCAGTTTTCTTCTTCCAGTCGTTTCCACTATCACCACAATAGCCAACCTTGAATGCCTCCCCATCAGAACTCTTTAAGAGTAATCTTTTTTGTTGAAGTCATGGCTGATGATTAAAATTCAATTTGGATAATTTTATGAAAAGTGAAAGCCCTAATCCCAATTTGTTTGTTTTATGAATTAGAAAATTGACTATTCCCACTAATTAAGGAATACTGTTATATTTTATTTTTGAGCAATACCTAGCATAAATAGCTTTCGGTTCTTCGGATGAATCAATTGACTTCTCCCTTTTCTTCATTGATATGAGGGAAAAGGAGCCGTCTACCTGTTGGCAAACTAGGCATCAAGTAAGTGGTTTGATGAGGATAACTAAGCTGATACGCCGGAGTTGGCTGCTGGCACAACAGGGTGGTGCCTTAGCGCACCGCAGACGTACACACGGTAGTATTCGTGGTGGTGCTTCAGGATTCCAATGTACTGCGTCTAGGATTAGAATGAGCTTGCCGGCAGACTATAACTTCATATAAAGAAAAAAGAATATTCTAGGAGAATATTTTAGAAGAACAAAATTCTAAGAAAATATTATTATAATAAAAAGGATTAAATATAGAAAAGAAATAAATAGCAAAATTATACAGTTACTCCACCTGTTTTATTTTTAGTTAGCTGATTATTTCCTACCCTTATTATGTTACTTTGCCATAAATCTGGGATTTTTCTGTCAATTTTGCTTGTCGATGTCGGCATCATTCATTTTGGTGGGTCCAATTAGGGCTGGAAATGAGTCGAGTCGAGTCGAACTCACCTCAGCTCGACTCGACTCGTTAAGAATTGTTCGAGTTCGAGTTCGAGTTCGAGTTCGACACGAACTTTTTTTTAAGCTCAAACTCGACTCGATATAAGTTCACGAACAGTTCGGTTCAACTCGTTAGGTTCATCTCATTAGGTTCATCTCACATGATTCACGGACTTAAACACTATTTTTTAAAATATATATATATTTTAGTATATTTGACATTTTAAATAAATATATTTTTTAAAAATAAAATATTAAAATAAAATAAAAGTTATCATATTGAAATTTAACTTTATCTTCGAAATCTACTAATTCAAAACCTACACAACTTTCAAGAGATACATTTGAGAGTCTAATTAAAAAACTACTAAATTGAAGATTAAATTTGTCTATGATTTGGAGTAAATATTTAAACCTAATCTTAAAGACAATATAATTCTTCTCATATGTAATCGAGTTGACTCATGAACCTAACGAGTCGAACTATGTATAGTTCAAGTTCAGCTCATTTAGTTAACGAACTTAATTTTTCGCTCATACTCAACTCATTTGGTTCATGAACCTAGTTCAACGATTTAATTGTCGAATCGAATTCCGAACTATTTTCGAGTTGGTTTGGTTCATTGCCAGCCCTAGGTCCAATGCTCCATACACAAATAGGAGCTTCAGTTTTCATCCGTTTTGTGTATTTGTTTTCAATAAACATCATTTGGTGTTTCCACCTAGAGTTAGCGTGTGTTTGGATTCACAATAGAGATAGCTAAAAGTGATTCTAGACACATAAAATTTATTGACATATTTGGGTTTGGGTGGATCATGTTGCTTGAAATTGATTTTGTCTTCGGAATTGATTCTATCGAAGTTTGTAGCTTTTGACTCTAAATTTGATTTTTACACAAATGTTTATTGTTCGACTCACTATTATGTCAATGTATCCAAATATAAATCACTTTACATTCAATTCACTTTTAATTACAATCAATTTTACGAAATCAATCTCATTTATAATCAATTTTTGTTACTAGAGAAACAAACACACGTAGAAACAAACACACACGTAGTAGATACTCTATTTGTCAAACTCAACACACTTACTATAAAATTCAATTTTCAAACTGGTAAGTATTTAGTTCTGATAGTATACTACTTGAACTGTTTTGGAAATTGTTGAAACTGATTGATAATTCGTTGTTTTTTTATTTGCTGGAGTCTTGACTTTACATCAATCTCAATGTTTGGTGGATATGATGTCTGCTCTACTGATAAAATCTTAAGCTGGATTGTTTGAAAGACATTTTGTAACTAGTTGGTACACATGTGCGATTTTAAATGAGACTGATAGTGATTTCTTGTGTTCATTTGTATAACGGAAGATTGAATATACTTAATTTGTTACTTGAATAAGTACCAGAATCAACATGGCATGAACTAACTACTCCAAATACTTCAGGAAATCATTCTTGTTGAAAGCCTGAAACTTGATGATGTCCCAGCAGGATTATACTCAGTCCACTGCTTACCTCTAAGGTTGGCTGGTGCTGAGGGATCACCAATACGATGCATTCTAATCAAGTATTAAGGTATGTATGATTTTGAGGTGCACGATCTCGGGTTTCCTGTTACATTTTTTATTTTAAAATTTCTGGTCTAACAAGAGTATGTGATATGTATTCCATATTGTTCCTGCATTGAGTTCTACCAAAAGAGTTCAATTCTTTTCACTGAATTAATAGCTAAAACACGATTTGAAATTGATGCAGGAAGCAGTGCGGTCTCAAATGCAATGGTGAGAGGGATAGGCAATGATGTATGTATGCTTAGAGCAAGAGGTAGAGAGATGCATCAGTCTAATAGCTTTTCGTTAAATATAGTTTGGCAGCTACGTTGAACCAAATACATTGTCGCACTTTATGGAGCTAGATAATAACAGTACTGCTCTTCATCTTTAGTAGCATATGTTTCCATTACACTTATTAAAAACATCAAATATAGATAAACATTAGAATATGTTTGCATTTGCAGTTTCCTAGAAATAAAGTATATGTCAATTATTTTCCCACAGTATTATAAATCATGATTATTAACTATTTAGCATGATAAAAAGTAAAAGTATTGCATAGTTTTAGTCTATGACAGGTTTAGATGCCCAGTACGTTAGGTGTCGCCTGATTGCTTGAACAGGTGTCTGATTGCTTGAACTGTAATTGGTGCATGCATGCTATTTATTTTTGGTATACCTTTGCATGCCTAAAGTTACCATGTGTTGCATGCATTGATTGATGCTTGCACCTTATTGTTTAAAGATTCCACTATCATTGCTTTCAATGTAAAATTTAAATTAATCATAAATCAGTTCATGATCAGTGATGAACTGATGTCAGACCTTTTATAGGAGGAGGCACAGTAATAATGATACAAAAGCTCTGACTAAACAAGACTAAGTATCAAGGAAGTAAGTCCATACAACACAAAGTGTACTCTTTCCTTTAAAGATTTAACCTTAGATCAACCATCTAAAGTCATTTTCTTTATAGGTGTTTAGAAGATCATTACACGTGAGTCTTAGGCATGTGTTCAATTATAGGTGTTTAGAGGATCAACAAATTAATAAGACTAATTTAATAAAAATGTAATATCTTAGAACAATATCATTATATTTTTTAATGTGTGTAAAAATCTTAAATAGTCATTTTGAAACGGAGTGCATTTTTTTAATGTGTGTAAAAATCTTAAACAATAGTCATTTTGAAATGGAGGGAATAACTTGTTGTTATTGATGTTTTGTGGTTGGAGTAAGATATTGAATCCTAGTTGTAACCAAAATTGCAAAACTAACATCAATGGGCAAATCAATAATCCTAGTTCTAACTCAATAGATTGTTTGGAAATCACAAAGGATTCATTTAATTCAAATAGCAAGTGTCAGAAGGAATTTTAATTAAGAAGTGTCGATTAAAATTCGAAGTCCATATACTGAATTTAATATTTAGTAGTTAAATTTTTGTTTTTTAATAGAGTAATTCATCTTTATGAAATTGAGAGTCATCACTAATATTCTAAAATCTAAATGTAATGATGATTCACAATGTTTTGATTTGTCGCGGATGCATATTAAAGGAGTATTTAAATATATATTTAAAAAATAAAAAAATAAAATGAATTTCAATACATTCCAATACAACAGCAACGCATTATAATACACCGACATGTTTTTGGTACGTTCCAAATAATCACTAATCTTTCTCGACCTTAATTCTTTTTTTTAAGCTTTAATTATTTTATTACTTTCATTTTTATTTTTCTATAACAAGAATCAAAGTTATTTTTATTACTTTACTCTCAATTTTAACTGTCATTCTTTTTCTCATAGTTCTTTTATTAATAACTATCAAATTTTGCAAATTCAATTAGTTTTTTTAGAGAATTATTTAACTAATGTTTAATTTAAATTTTTTATACATATATTTTAAATGTGTCATATTTTAAAATTTTAAATGATTGATGTATCTCCATATCAAATAGATACACTCTATAGACTCTAGCCAAAAGTACAAACATTTCTTTGGTCATCTCCAAGCTTCTGAGTTCTGAATGTGAATTTTTTACATTCCTGTCATAGTATTAGAACTTAAACCCCAAAATGCCATATTTCTACAAATAAATTTCAAAATGCCATACTTTCAAAAACAATTTTTTTTTTGGTTGTAGGTAGCCGCCCATGCATTGGGCGGATGTGTGGAAATTTAAAGTGAACCGCCCATTGGAAGGGCGGTAGTGACCAAGACCAAATTTTTCCTTTTTTTTGTTTTAAAATATATTTTTAAATATTAATATATATAATTATTAATATATATTATTATCAAAATAGATTAATAATATAAATTTTAATATATGTTAATATTAATAATATTAATATATATTAATATTTATATTAATAATAATATAAGTATTAATATATATTATTATAAATATATCTTAATATATATTTTTAAATATTAATATGTATTATTATTAATATATATTATTATCAAAATAGATTAATAATATTAATTTTAATATATATTAATATTACTAATATTAATATATATTAATATTTATGTTATTAATAATATAAGTATTAATAATATATATTAATATTAATATTATTAATATATTTTAAAATTAATATTTATAATATTAATATACATTAATATTAATAATATTAGTATTTATTAATATATGTATTATGTGACATTATTATTAATATTAATATAAATTTATATATTGAAGACATAATTTATATTGATTGAAATTATTAACTAATATTATTTAATACATGATGATTAATAAAAAGACTAACGACTACTTGTTCCCACATTGGGACACCGGGTGCGATTGTGTCCCGTTTGACGACACATGGAACATTTCCTCTCAAGCTTATCAAAGTTATCCATTTCTGTTGTAATACGTGTGCTTACAGGGCGACCTTTCTTGTTCCTCCGCATTCTTGGGTTATGGTAAATTTGATCTCCTTCATAAACAGGCCAATATTCATCGCATGACATCACTGAAAAGCTTGCACTGTAAACCCCAAACAGGTTTGTAACCTTATAAAGGTCGGACAAAAGAGCGTAAGCGTCGTGGCGCACATTCGAACATGCAGCGATAACATGTGAGGAAGGGACACGAAATGCTTGAAACTTTCCGCAGTCACACTACCCGTTCAAGAGGTCGACCTTATAATGTCCCATAGGTTTCCCCTCACCATGGTCCATTGTCTCTTGCACACTGAAAACATTGTTCCTGTAGTCAAAAATTCTGACTTGATGTGTGCTGGATTTTGTTGTTTCTTCTTTCATAACCTTGAGGCAGTTGTCTGTAAATGTTTGGCCAGAATTCAACATAGCACTCCACTTTCCACCCCTTTCAGCAAATAAAGATCCTAGTCTATAATACGTTGCCCTTACCAATACTGTAATGGGCAAATTACGTGTGCCCTTAAAGACGACATTCATTGACTCGACAAGGTTGGTAGTCATGTGACCTCAACGTCGACCGCCGTCAAATGTCCTTGTCCATTTTTCGGCTGGAATACTGTCAATCCACCTTAAAGCATCTGCATTTGCCATGCCAATCTCTGACCGATAGTAATGAAATGTTGGCTGGTTTAAAGCGTATCCTGAATAATTAAAATATCAAATTAAAATATTGACAAAATAATATATGTTATTGACAAAATTTAATGAATATTAAGAAATATAGTTACCTATGTTAATTATTTTTTTTCCGTAGGTTCCTGTCCTTGATTTATCTCATAAAGTTTTGTGCAATGTGTGGGATACAATAAACATGCACTGAAGGGGGATCGTGCCAACCATTTTCTGCATTGTTGTATGCACTTTCAATTGATGCATGTCGGTCTGAAATTAAACATAGATCTGGTTGTGGGGCGACATGTAACACCCCAATTCAACCCCTCGAAATAAATAATAAAATCAGAGTTTCAAAATTTCATCCAAACATAAATTGAGGTATCACATATTCATTTTCATCACTTTGCAATATAATGCACAACACAAAAATCAAAAGTCGGATATACCGATTCATATCATTAACATCATATAACCATATGAGTATTCACAAAATATACGCATCAACAAGTTATCGGCAATACATAAATTCATAAAGTCATAAAATAGTATACATAAACTATCATATCCAAAATAATAACGTCGCCCAAATCCCGAGTGTTACTACTATCAGAGCAGAGCGACTCAAAAAAAAAAGAGACTCGAGCTAATCCACATCATCCTCGCGGATCACCTGCACGTTACCAATATAAAGGCAACGGCGAAACAAGTAAAGGGTGAGATACTCCAAAACATATAATTAAAGGCATGATGAAATATATGAATAGTTTGGAATCATAAATGATATAGGATTAATAAGAATATATTAACACATATCCAAATCTCACACACTTTAAATCATCATTTAGTGTATAGAATCAACACTTTAATTTCGTCACATACTCGCCATAATCATATCAAAACAAGATATAAACTCCATCGCCATAAATTCATATCGTCGCTTTACCGCCATGTTATATTCGTCGCATAATCCTCGTGAATGTATCAAATCTTAATCACTTTATGTTTAACATAAAAATGATCACAAAATAAAGTATCCTACAACATCACAATTCATCATAAGTCATCAAATAAAACTCAATGCCAAAAGACTCAAAATAAACATAACCGACTCCATGAGACACGACTATGTTATGCATGTGGTACCCGTCGCTTTGTCCATAATTAGGGACATTTGGCATAAAGCCCATCGTCGCTTTGGCATAAAAGCCCTCGTCGCTTGGCATAAAAGCCCTCGTCGCCAATGCAATGTATGTGACTTGACAACACGACATCACAAACACGACACAACAAAAACATCATCATCACGCATCAAGATTGGCATAAAGCCCACGTCGCCATACTTATCCACATCAAGATAAACATATCATCGCATCGCATATCATCAAGTATTCATTATAAATAAACCGTCGCAAACATCATGTTTAATCACACCACATCATTATCAAAT